ATCCATTTTCTATACTCACTTATTCCTAATAGGGTCATGGGGTGAGCTGAAGCCGATCCCAGCTGTCATTGGGCAAAAGAGGCAGGGATCACCTACTACTGTTATTGGTACATTGTTTCATAGAATTTTGCTCTGTAATATGATACTTAATGTTTCTGGTCACTGGGATTTTGTTTAATGTTTTGCAATCGTATAAGGGTATCTGACATTATTTTCTGTTTTCCAAATCTACATTATTGCTTATTCAAAAAATCATCAAAGAATTACAAGAAAATCACACAATTCAGGTGTCAACAGTTGCTAAACATAAATTGAAATTATGGAATAAAGACAAGATTGTTTCATGAGATATGTTTAAAAGTATTACAGAAAGGGTAATCAATACAGAAATACTAGCTGCTTAACGGCATTGGTCAGGTGCTTGTTTATTCTTATCTGGGTCAGGAATTTTTCCCTTTGCCCAGTATGAATACTTTTTCTGAAAGAACAGTATTATAGATTTTCTAAAAAATGTTAGCACAAATGTTTCACAAATGAGTGATGCACGCAGTTGGCAAATGAACCGACAGGCCCTGCACTCTCCTTGCGTGCCCATACATGATTTGTGCATAATGCATTTAAATTGGTGGCTTAATCCTAACAAAGGTAGACAGAGATACCACCTACTCAGAAATGAGGTGTTGTAGGCTACCAGAAAGAAATCCCAGAAATACATCATGTTTCCACAAAAAAAAACTTTCTTTCTTTCTTTGTTGTATTACTGGGACCTCAAGCTGGTTTGAGTTGGAAAAATCATAAAAGATCAGTCACACTCGCACCAAGGATAACTTTATCCAAACAGCACTCCAGACCTTAAACCTGCTATTTAAATAGCTGTCTTTGAATTACAGCAGTGTACTGCTGAATTAAATAGATTTATGCTTTCACTGCGGTTGTAGCTGTGCTTGTTTGATGGAAGTATTGCAAAAACAAGTTAATATAATACTGTCTAAAGTGACTTGCTGGAAAAGAAAAAGAGATGGAAACCCCCATCATTTTTACACCAAATCTGTTTTTAATCCCCATCGTCTGGGAAAAGGAACATCAGTTCCTGCGTGTGCTTGTGTGTGTGTCAGCGTGCACGTGTGTGTCAGCGGGACCGGGACCAGGTGACCCAGCATGACCTGAACCAGCCAGGTCCCATAAAAGCTGCATTGAGGCCTGGAGGCCCAGAGCCACAGCACGGCTTTTGTTGCCCTACCCAAGGTGTATTCCCCTTAAGGGAGGAGGACGGAGAGGGGGTGTTACTCATTAGAGAAACAGAAACCATTCCCCAGCTTGGGCACATTTTATTTCATAGTTTATTAGTGGAAATAAAGTTGTTTCTGTATTTTTATGTATGTTTTCTACGACCATTCTGGCCTGTCTCTCTCCTTCCTCTCATGGAGTTTAACCACAGTCCACTCTTTCTCCTATTCATTTATTTTCCTGCATGGCTCCAATTAATGGAGATCTGTTCACTTTTTACACATGGCTTGCCAGATGTTTGAAACTCCCTCTTCTCGTTTTCTTTCCCACTATTTCTCCCCGTATTTTTTCCATCTTTTCCTCAGCTTTCAACACTATTTTTTCGTCATCCCAATCATTTCATACATCTGGCTTTCATACGACTGATTTAACTCTTTGAATTTGATTGGTTAAACAGCCATCTTAAAGTCGCTGCGTCTGTGGAAGGATCCTCTGTCCTATATTTACTCCTCCATTCTTCAAGGTCAATTGCCGCTGTCAATGGTCCTTCAGAGTGTGTGAACGTTGTGTGTTTTCCACTGATTGCTTGCCCATGAACATGATTAAAGTCACAGAACATCTGTGTGCGTTCACTGCTTCTGCTTACATGTCCCATCTTGTATATTTCTGCAATCTGCTTTGAGACAGGCATGTGTACGCATATGATTTACAAAACAGGACCATGTATAGGGCTGTGTCTTGAATAACCCCGTACTCATCCAACCTGTGTTTGACATTCTTTTTTCGTCAAACACCAAAGTTCTTTGTGAAAACAGTCGCAGGGACTCTCCCCGTCAGACCCTCGCGTCGAAGGAAAACCGCAGCAGAGCCAAGCAGTTACAGAAAATAAGTCAAAATGGGAAATATGACTTTTAAAAACAACACTCGCAGAGCTGACTCTGTGGCTTTGTGTGTGAATACGTACTATGTGCTGCATGAGCATGAATGTGTGGGAAGGAAGGACATGGAAGGATTTTTGCTTTAATAATAGCAGCACAGAAGCCTGTGCCGTAGATTGGTGGACATTTTTTTTGCCCAGTCTCCTTTTTATCCATGTGGAGCATAAAAAAGAATCTACCTTTTGAGCTTGTGTCCATAACCACAATCAGAGATGTCAGTGAAAATATTGTTTTTTATTTGCTCCATTGAGTCCATATTTCGGTCATCTGTCTATGCAGAGCGACTGGGCGATCTAATTTATTTTGGGGCCGAGCACAGAATGCTGCTTTCTTAGTAATGCAGCAACAACTCCAAAATCGTTGGGGTATTCTGCAAAATGGAAATGAAAACAGACGGCACTGGTTTGCAAATCTAATAAATTCATGTTTTATTCACTACAGAACACAGAGAACATATCAGATGTTGAAAGAGAGCCATTTTTCTATTTTATAAAAAATATTAGACTGTTTTGAATTTAAAAGCTCGGGAAAAAAATAAAAAGAATTGGAAATTAGTCATCGTACGAATATGAAACATTTCCTCTTCATTTAAGAACATTTTGCAAACTTTTGGAGAGACCATTTGATGGACCTCTGACCTCTGGCTGCTCGGTATGGGGTTTTATTTGTTTTTAGGGGTTTTGTGATGCTCCCAATGTTTTCAATTGCTGGATGGTCTGGGCTATGGACAGGGCGCTATACCTACCTAGAAGTGGTGTTGTGCAATATTGTGCCAAAGTATTCAAGGCCCTCTCTGGAAAAAGACGCCACTTTTCTGTCATGATGGAGTTTGTCAGACGTGCAAGTTGCACATTTAATAATTCAACCCCTCATATGAATAAAAAGTATGACTTCAACAGCTTATTTTTTAAATAGTTGGTTTTATTGTTGATAAAGTATGCATTTATATTTTATTCTGAACACCATTTCTCTGAAGGACTGTTCTTGAGAACAGATTTGTGCTTAAGTTGTGCATGCCACTTTCTATCCCTTCCCTACTTTTGTGTCTAAATTCTTAGGTTTTCTACCACTCTTGGTGAATGATCTTTGATCAAAAATCTTCAGAACCCCCCCCCAATGTGCTCCTTTCTTGTAAGTTGCTTCGGATGAAACATCTGAGAAAAGAATGCAATTAAGGATGAATCTAGTTTCAGTGGGACAATTGTGAAGTCCCTTCATTATTTGACAACCAGTGTTTACAACCCGTTAACGGTTAGGAGTGACAGGCATCTATTCCCTCCAATGGAATATGCACTAATCTACATTATTATGATTTCAGTCTTGTAAGGTGGGAATTTCCTTTCCTTTATTACTATAAGTTTATATTTAAAGACACTGCTGCTTGCCTCGCAGCCATTTTGCACCGCTGTGTTGCCACAGTGCCCAGAGGGGACAAACCTAAGTGCTCTTTCCATTGCTCAGTATGATCAGCGTGGCCTTTCACTTACCTTTAGTTTTCCACTGTTGGTCTTTAACCAGACCTTTTTTTTTTCATTTGTGCTTCTGCTGAGGTTCCAAGTGAGCAGAGCCAATAAGTAATGGAAAACAGAAATTTCTGCAAAAATACAGTTTTATTGAATTGAAGACCGAGGCCATTATGGGGTCAGATTGATGATGACCACCGATAGGGACTGTCATCGGGGCTCTGATTGAGCCTTCACAGTAGTTGAAGTTTTGCTTGATGTTGAAGGTTTGCAGCACTAAACAAGAGAAACCGTGTCAGCTCATTTTGGATGTGGTACCACAACAGCAGCCAGAGTAATTGTTCCTAATTTGTTCAATCATTTCTAACACAAAGGTAAGATTGATGGAAGAGTACTAGCTGTTGAAATAAACTTCACTCCAGACAGGTGAGCTGTCAGATGTAGAGTTTCAATATGGATCTTAATCATTTGCTACACAGCAGCTGTTCTGAGTTTTAGTTCAGGACTCCATCAGAATTGTCAGATTAATCTTGTTTTACAGTTTAAAAGAGCCAAAAAATGTGGTTGTTTTAGTCAGAACAAATTCATAAATAAGAGACCTTGACAGCACTTAGCTCTTGAAAAACAAATTACGTATGCATCCCATTTTAACATTTAGCAGATTTTAGCATGTGTATTCAGAGTATTACTCATAGTTGATGAATGTTGGACATTTTTAATTCTTTATTCTCTCACACTGCCCCTTACCCACCCCGGGTGTTTGATTCCCATGCTGAAGCAATCCCCAAAACAACAAGACATTCTTTGGCTGAGCTGTATTTACCACAGCTCCACCACAGAGAGTATAACTCCACCCACTCATGAATTCTCTGAAGGGGATAGGAGTCATCCAGAAAAATGAGGGAAGTGCTGCACATTTAGATTTCAACTTCTGAGAAAAAAAAAAGAGAGTTGAGAGCGGTCGTTACACTCAAAATGGTGTTCTGTGTGTCTGTTCTCCCTGCCCATGTTGTGGATGGCTCTTTGCGGGTAGGCTGGCTACAGTCAGGCTGGCAGAAGGAACAGAGGAAGCCTTTATACTAAACTTCTGCTGATTGAAATCATATGGTGTTGCCTGAAATTATTGCAGTACTCGGAAGACAGACAAAAGGAGAAGGGTGGTGATGCACCCCTCCGATTCTGCACTGTTAATTGTTTCATCAACATGTTGTTACCTGCTTTTTTAGATGTGGAGATTGATGTATAGACAGAATTTTTTGGGGTTTTCTTTTTGTTTTTTTGGTAAATGATATGCGTTCTCAGTCCCTTCATTTAGTAACTACAGTTAGATTTCAGGATTTAACCTTTCCTATTTTATCCCCTCTCTTTTCAGCGTGGACCTGGCCTCCCTCTCAGTTTCTCTCCTTCATCAGCATCTGTTTGACCGCCCTGCGGCCAACTGGACCGCCACCCGCAGCCGAGTGATCCTGGATGGCAGTTCCTTGTTTTAAGCTCACCTTAGGCCCCTGACAAAGACGAAGGGAACGAGAAGACGATCGGCGAGAAGTCACCTGAATAACCGACTGCACATTTCATGATGGCGACAAACAGGGAGCACCAGGTGCGACACATGACGGGCTTCCCGCGCTCCATGTACCCCTTCACCTTCAACTCCATGCGGAGCCACTCCCCCTTTGACCTGCTGGCCAGTAGCCACCTGTTTGGCCGGTTCGGAGCAGACCTTCCCAAAGAGATGGCTGCATTGTGTGAGTGATGAATCTTTCGCATAACACATGAGACTTTTGATGGATGATTTTAAATTTGTCTCACTTCGTTCACTTTTTTTTTCTCAAACATTCTCACTCATTCTCACTGAGTTTTTAACTGATTTTGCTCTCTTAAACTCACATTTTTTCTCTAACCATCTCTTATCATCAGTGAAAGTACAAGAAAATACAAATGAACTAGAGGGCTTTAAAATAAGAGTGTAAACTACAATGAGATTCAGTTGGAGGCCAAGAAATCCTAATCTTCCAGCCCTGCACATGACAAGACAGTGTGTCAAATGTCTGTCCCCTGACCAACTCTGGTGTGGTGTAAAACAGAGGAGACTTCATGTCCTCGGGGCCAATTTGAGGTTATAATAGTGCTTTAAATCATGCACTGAGGAAGAACGGAACACAGCGCAACAGAAGAGAGAAGAAAACTTTTTTTTCTGTGTGGTAAGCAAGCAGATGCTAGAGAGGACAGGCTGGGAAAACATAATTTACTCCCTGTTTGTAATTAACCTCTTTGTGTGATTTAAAAAAAAAACATTTTTGGACCTTAAATGTTCTCATCAAGGTTAGAACTTTTGGAAGTTGTCATAGTTTCTCATTTTCCCCAGTTTTAGTAATTAGCCGCAGTACCCTTTTTGTGTCATAGGGGGTGCTGTTGCACTTCACATTGACCTGCAGTCAAGAACTTATCTATTTATTTTTATTGATGATATATATGCAGCACACTGTCAGTGAACCAAACTGACCTTTGTTTTTTTCATCATATTTGTTTGTTTTATTTCTGTTTTTGTGGTAATAATCAGTTTTATTAAAATTGAGAGAGATTTATAGATATTTAGTTTACTTTAGACATTATGCCCTCTTACTCAGAGGCACCTTTGACACAAATCAGAGCCTTCGGTCCTAATGGGAATGACTCTTGATATGTTTTTTTGTCTTTTAGGTGTCTATCTTTTATTCTAAGTGGAAATTTTTAATCTCAACTCTCTCTTCAGATACTTTGATGCGTTAAAGTCCAGATTCTGGCACAGTCACTCTATGACTTTATTCATGCAACCACCACTATGTTTTCTTTGAGTTATACTCTTATTCATGGTCTTAATGAAGTATAAATCTTCACCTTATAGTATAAATACTAGAATATTTTTAAGGTTTTTACTCAGATTACTCTTTAGAAAATGTTTAAACTAGTTTGCAGATATTTGGGCAGATATTTTGCCCCAGCTGTCTTTTTAACTCAAAGACTAAAACTAAAAAGAAGAGCAGTATCAATCAATCTAATTTCTGTTTGTCCATGAGCAGTTCTCAGATCCAGAGCTTCCCTGTGAGATGTCCAAGCTGCAGCATCCTCAGAGATAATTAGCACATTCACCCAGATGTTGCAGTTCCACTGATGCCAAGCTTAGCTGGAGCCAATTAAAGCTAACTTTTTATTATTGATTTTTTTACCGTCATGTAATCCTGCCTCACACAATTCACCTGACCTCTGTTTTATGTGAAGAGGACTCTGAAGTAGTCTGATGTTAAAATTCTTTTAAACGTTTCTTAATAAGAAAATTCTTTCATTTTTCTCAAATAAACAATATCGTCTTTCTTTATTTAGTCATACATTGTGCAGAACTTGAGAGCACTTGACAATTTTCTTTTGACATCAGTTCAGGCTGGCAGGGCTTTTTGTGTGTCATTGTGTTATGCTGAACTGTGTTCAGACCACTATTCTACAGTAACACTCTGACAGAGGCTCCCTCACTGACTGACTATTATCAGATTTGGAAATACCTGCCAAACACTCCCATCCATCAGTCTAAGTCTGTGTGTGTCCTCATGCATTCAGTGTGCTGATCCGCTGTTCTTTTACGTGGTCTATCTTTACAAGAGGGGGTTGCGGACGCTAGCAGCAGTCAGTGTGTGATTACATCTTTTAGATGTTGCCTCTGGGACTTATACAAATACTCAGACAGATAGAAATATATAAGGGACATCATTAAGTCATTCAGGCAGATAATTATAGCATGTCTTGAGGCTAAGGCAGGTCAGTTATAGATGTTTTATTTCCTGGTAAACGGAATAAAAGAATAAATAAGATTTAGAGCACAGATGGCAATCAAATGCACAATTCACACATTTGATTTAATTACTTTCAGAGATGTGACAACAGATCAGTTTGAGGTCTGCGTATTCATAATTCTGGTTTTCGTTCTTCTTTTAAACTGTGTCAACACTTTCGTTTTTCAAGAGGCTCTGACAATCAGCTCCATCTCCTCTTAAACCCGATGCAGACTTTTATAATCAGTAAAATGAACCAGATCAAAAAGATTAAAGAATGAAATTGTTAAACACTCTGTTGTTAGTTTCAAAGATTGTAAAAAAAGTCCCGTCTGATTAACAGACAGAAAAAAATTGGCTTATCAGGCAATGTGTCCTCATAAAAAAACAAAGTGCTTATTTGTATTATCTGTGTAACTTTTCTGATTAAATACAACACATTGAACTATTTCCAGAGAGGTGAATAATGCTGGAACAGATGATTGTGTAACAGTGAAACAAAATATTTCACTTTTGCTCATTGTTCATTAAAGGAAAGACAAAGACCCCTTATGGTTGCTGAAAATGTATTTTGTTGTGAAAAAAGCTCATTTTGTGAATATTCCTTCACGCAGAGTCTGTAGATGCCACTCTGTTTTTCTCTTCTGTGTAAATGATGGCCACAGCTTCTGTAATGACACGCGCTGTTTAATTGTATATTCATCCTTTTAAGGATGAAGTTAAATATTCAAGATTCTTTCACAGGAATCAGACTTAATGAGCAGGCATGGGATCAATGGTTAGACCCATGAGCACTATGCACGGCCCCTTCTTGAGAACTTCTCAATCACAACAAAGTTCTACCAAAGAAACATCTATTTAATTCTAAAAACAATCTCAATTTAGAGAATAAAAATGGCTTTTCATTGGAAAAAAACTAAAGTTTGAGACCGCAAATTGTTCTGGGAAACGCTTTTGGAGATAATAAATCAAGAAATTATCTAAGTGATTTTTTTAAAGCCCTAATTCAAACTGACTACATTTGCACCCACAACATTTGCCTCCTGCTGGCCAATAGTCAGAATACAGGTTTCTGGGAAGTAGTGTACTTCTTTTTTACTCTGTACGCAAGTCAAAACTCTAAAGTGATTTAAAAAACTTAACCAAAGTTTAAAAAGAACATGCAGTAAATTTAAGTTATAATTACAAAGTTCTTCATCACCATTCAGAGAAATGTGAGTGATTTAGCGTAACAGTGAAGTGAAGTTATAGAAGTAAAACCTGTGCAGCTGGCAGCACCACTTTGAGTTCTTCAAAACTAAACTTCATACTAATGATCAATCTTGTCAAATGAATGGTTTTGCTAAAAGATGTCGTCATTGTTGAGAGCTTGAGGTGAGTGTCCTTTAGTGGGAGACTTGTGATGCACCTCTAGCTAAACTATGCATTGTGTGGGCTGAATGCTTAGACAAATCTGGAACCTCACACAATGCTGATGGCACTGTGTGCTGACCACACCTTCAGTCCACTCCTGAATCCCCGCTGAGAGATGAGAACCTCATTTGTTGCATCATTTGTGTCCACTCGTATTCTCATGCATCTGTTTTGTATGCCAAAGCCAAAGAGCCGCTAACTTTAGTATGATAGTGGTTTGTTCATCACGATGTGGGAAAGAAGTTCACCCAAAAATCACTGCATTTTCTGTCTCAGTCTGTCATGTGTGAGGACACTTTGTTATGACTCACTGCACTGGAGTCTCTCTGTACTCATTCATGAGGATTTGCAACTTATAACCTTCAATGAATCACTGATATCATTTGTGTAGTGTGAACCAAAGTGTATACAACTACAGTAAAAGTTTCAAGAAGGCTTTCCAAATCCGCTCAGACCAGGTCCGTCTCAGTTTGAGTGCAAAGCCTGGACTTTGTTGCCTGATGAGATGTAATTCAGAACATCCCTGGACTTGAAATTAGTGGATATCCACATCAAAAGCACCCCGCTGTAGATTCAGCCAGCCAGCCATTTCTCTCCCGCTCGCTCTGTTTTCAGTTGGAATCAGGCAAAAGCACAGATTCAAGTATTTTTGGCAGAGGTTTTATTTTTTGCCAAGAGCTTCCTGGAACTGATGCAAATCACGATACAGTCTCAGTTTATTGCCAGGATGGGGAAATAATTCCCACCTTTTTCAAATTTGGAAGTGATTATTTTCTATCTTTACTCCACAGCAGTGAATCGATAGTAATTTCGCATCTAAATGACTCGTTATGAACAAGCCGAAGCTTCACTGCTGTGCTATCGCCGTAGAAAACTGTGTTTTAGAGCAATGAACCCAATGTCCTTTTGCAATTTCTGTGCTAGTAACATCTTGTTCTTTGTAATGTTTTCAGTGTGTGTTTGTATGTGTGTGTGTGTGTGTGATAGTAACCTGAACCTAAAGGCACAGAGTGAGGCTTGTGTGTTTTTCTTTCTGTCTGTCATCGCAGCCACTCTGTTTAAGCACACACATAATTGTTGGTGTGTCTGCATACACACTCTTTATGCTACACATTCCAACACCCACGAATATCACAAACAGCAGTTTCACACTCCTTGCCTCACATTTGTGACTATTTTGGTGTGCTTACTGATGACCACAGCGAGCCTGTGCAAATAACTGTGGCCGGGCCGGAGGAACGGCCTGTGCAGACACAAGCGGAGAAAGAGAAACCATTGTTCAGTCCTGTGTGTTTGTGTCAGACATGACGACAGGATGAATAGCTGAAGAACCTGATTCTGAATAGCTGTAATGCGACTCGCTCCTCTTGCAACTTGTGAAAGAAGGAGGAAGGAGTGAAGCCTGCCGGAGAGTCCCCGTGTTTTAAGTTTCAAAGAGCTGCAATTTGCTCCGCTAAAAGAGCGAGAGCCCGGCCTGTGTTTTGCAAAAAAGTGCAGGAAAAGTGATACAACTATTTTTCTTCTGAGCA